TCTTCAGGGATATATAAAACAGAGCCATGGTTATGAAAGCCAGAAAAACTTTTTTCTGTACCTTGATATCTACATCTGTGTTACATAGCCCCGAAAATTAATCCAGTGAGATCCAAAATGTCAGGCATGTCTTAAACCCGTTATGAGCCATGCTGATGATGAATTTTATCCTGCTTAAGAATTGAAAAAGGGTGGAAAGTAAGCATTAACAAAATACTTTTGCACTGTGAAGCAGTATAAATTCTCACATTCTACAGATACCAAACATGCTATATTCTTTAAGGTATACCGTAACATAAAGGCGCTACCGCTGGAGACCACAGACCATTTGGTCCACAGTTTAAAACTGATATTCCAACCAAGCGATAGCCTTTGTCACAGGAATACTGTGCAGTGTTACTGATAGCAGAGCTGTTAGACGTTAAGAAGAATTTCCCGTTTTCGATTGGTGGCGGAACTCCACACTCGACATCTGCAATACCGATACATAAAAACAGCGTTTCATCTAATCAGTTCGAATTTACCGGCGCACGTGGGAACACCGCCAGACCAGGTGCCATCTGCCATACATACCCTTGTCGAGTTTCCCTGGACGGCTTTGCCGAAACTGCATTTGTACTCCAGCATACTGCCGGCCGTAGTCGATTCGTTTAGCAATACAACGTCCATGTCTTCTGGGACACGAGGATCACCACAATCAACGGCTTCAAAAGTAACATTAAATTTAACTCGCCAAGCAATCACACTATACTTACGTTCGCATGTCGGAGGCAAATCTGACCATGTCCCATTTTCCAAGCATATCCGAACACTTCTGCCAACTATTACGAAGCCATAGATGCAGTAATAATAAGCAGATGAGCCTATTTTGTATATCTGATTAGAAAGCATGATTCCACCGTTCTTTGGAACCGCCGGACTGCTGCAGAACAGTGGCCCTAAAATATATGTTCATCATCAGATAACTTTCACAAAATTGGAAGCAGTATTACAAGTCAGGCTTGGGTAGCTCAAGTAATAGAACGCCTGATACGCTGGCTCGAATCATGGCTAGATTTCTAGCGTTTCATTCGTCGGATTAAAATAAATGAGTACCATAATGCAGAAGGGAAGCAACTGACTACACGTTCTAAGCACGGCTAAGTTCCATTTACTGTCTTATACAAATATGGTAATCCCGACTTATGGCGGAGAAATTTTGATCATATTGCTAAAAATAAGAAGGACGTTACAAGCGGCGCTCATCATAGCACTGCATAATGACCCACAGCGCAACGGCTACAACGACTTGCTCATACATGAATAGTCAAACGAGTTCTCTGCTTTGAAACTACGCGGTGTGAGGCACCGCTTGGTGCAATTTTCCTCGGTCCTCTACTACTCCAGCAATGGAGTTAGGGCGTAGTTCAGCGTGTCTGCTGACAATATAAATTAATTGCTTTAGAAAACGTTAGCTTCACAATGCAGTTTTCAAAGAACAATTTTTCACGACGTGGTAAAAATAATTTCAGTTTATTTATCTAGTCTTCTAAAGATAAAGTTTTCATTCAGATGTAATTGCAAATTCTATTTATTAGCTTTTATGACATGCTGTCTGATGAATCCTTTTTCTGCTTGTAATCCTTGTAGCTACGATTTTAACCTCCGTTTACTATAAGACAAACTGAACTTTCTCCGTAATTTTTTCTGTGTTGCTCCTAAACCCTGATTCTTTTCGCTAGTTGCGTCGTGAATATGCTAAAAAACAGCTGAAGATAGTTGTCTGCGGCTTTACAACTTGAAGCACCCCTGTAACCTTTAATTATACTGCCCTAAACTCAAATTATCATATGCATAAGAATATCAAGACTTGAAAAGGTTGTATATGGCAGAATTCCAATGATGAAAACACATTTAGATATGCTTAATCTTATTTTCACTATGTACTGCCTATAATGTGCTGAACTATTCAAAGGGCATATAGGAAGCTACTGGTGTTTTGATAAACTCAAGATGAATTAAGATGAACTTTGTCTGAAAAAAAATTCGCATATTGACAATGAGGGAAAAGATAATAATTTAGGCAACTGAAGCTTAGTTTAAGCAACGTGCAAGGGTCGTAAAGCTAGAACGAACAACACTTCTCGAACTTGCTTTTCTGATAACGTTCAGAAAGCGACAGATGTCAAAAGAATTTTATGGCTTTGCACTCTTGTCTTTCACTGGAAAAGAATCCCTACGCAACAGGTGTTGAGCATTGAAGTGCGATGCTTATTATCAATCAGAATGGCCTATACGCGACTGGTGCGTTTTGTCTAGTACAGTTTGAGTATTTCCAATCCGAAATTCCAAAATCCATAACCATGCGTTAACTCGCTTTTCAGTCCTGAATTTTTTGAAGTATCTTACGATAATATGAAAAACGGCCGTAACATCACTCCCGTCCTTCTCTGTCTGTCTGTCTGTCTCTCTCTCTCTCTCGCAACCTTCTATCGGCATTCGTATCTTTTGATACAAGGCCAATCAGACAAGAGCCGCCCTCCGTCCCTAACGAGGGCCAAATGGTTAAACGTCATCGGAAGTTCTCTACGTACTATTCGTGAGCATATTTGGTCACTACTCATTTTGTCGGCAACTTTAAAAGGGAGAACGTCAAACACACTATTTTCATGCGGCCATTTTATCATGAAAACAGCTCATTAATACCTAAATTTTACCCCCTCTTCCTTCCTCTTTTTCAACCTCCTCCGTTCCACCTATGTAAATTGCGTGAAAATGCCTTTTTATACCTGATGATGTTGTATTGCAACGAAAGACAGGTCATTTCAATTTGTGGAGTAACTGAGTTTCCTTTCTTGTGATTTGCAAAGAGCTGCTACGCCGCCTTCCGGAAATCCATAACTTCACTCTCACAGCAGCCGGCGCCTTGGGATAGGAACTCACTGTTTCGGGCCATAAATATTTTTATTCAAAAGGAAGTAGATTCGTTATTTTGTCTGTTCAAGTGGAGAACTGGGCTGAAAAAAAACGTGTTAAACGATATTAATAGTTTATATTTCGGAATTTGAGACCAGTTACGAGTTTCTTCATCGATTTCCGTTTCCTTATAGGCCCGCTTATACCGAATTGGAAAAAGTTCTCATGACGGTCCCGTTTGTAAACACGACTGTGTCATGGGTATGCAGTAAACCGTTAACGATTGTTAGCGCGAGCTGTTGTTATTACTATGCTTATGTTTCTGAAAGTCTGAGTTTTCTTCTTAATTCTCTTCAACTCAACCATATCATGTATTCCAAAATCCGTAACAATCTTAACCTGAAGCATTTCGGATAAGCGCAACTCAACCTGTATAGAAACAAGTTTT